CCGGCTGGGGCCGGCGGCCTATGAGCGGCGAGGATCTGCTCGGCCACTGCAGTCTGCAGCGTGGCCGAGAGCTCCTGCCAAAAGGCAGTGGCGTCTGCGCTCGCCCCTGCCTCACCTTCGGCGTGGTCCAGCCGGTCGAGCACGAGCTGTCTGGCCGCCTGGCCGACCCGCCCGCCTGTCTCGACGGCGAAAGGCGTCAGGGCTGGCGTCGTTGGGCCAGGCGGGTAGCGGAGCTGCTTCCCCCGCGCGGCGTCCTCGGCAGCAAGGCCCGCGTGGGCCGCCCTGGCCCTCTCCTCGCGCTCGTCAGCGCTGTCTGGGCTAGTGACCACCACGTCCGCCACGTGGCACACGCCCTTCTCGGACCATTTAGCGTCCAGCACCGCCAGCTCCATCCGATCTTGGCCAGTCTCTGGATCCCGGCGCCGCCGCGTCCACTGCGGCACTGTCTGTTCGGTCTGCACCAGGCCCGGGACCCGCTTGGCAAGCCAACGCGCTAACAAATCGCGGACCCGGTTGTGCCGCGCAGTGCGCGTGGGCCCCCTCTCGCACGCGATTGCGTGATGCTGATCGGGTTCATGCAAAGCTCCGCAAACCACCCCGTCACGGGATGTGTGTTGACAGTGCGTCTGCAATGCATGACCCTTCAGCAGCCGCGGGCCCTCCATCTGGAGGCGCCTCCGCAACGCCAGTCGGTACAGGTCGGTTGCCATCCGGTGCTCTGGCGCCGTAGGCAACAGCGTGAAAGCCCCTGCCCCAGGGCCTCCGCAGGACAGAAGGCGGCCCAGCGCGCGGTCGTCCAGGCCGGCCCTAGCCCGCGCGCCAAGGACTTCCATGACGGGCAGCATCAAGTCCTTCTGTCTGCTCCGTTCGCCCTGCGCCAGCGAGACCTGGAGGTAGTAAGCCGCGTTGCCCACCCTGGTGTTGTAGGCGGCCACAGCGTCGGCGAAGCCCTGGGTGCCCGTGGCCTGCCTCGCAAGGAGCTCCTCTGCGCTGCCCATGCCCAAGGCGCGCGCGACAGCCGGAGCCGCGGCGCACCAGGCGGCCACGTGGGCGGCTTCCCGACGGGGTTCGGCGGCTCCTGCGGCGAGGCCGCCGTCTCGGAGCGGTAAGCAAGCCTGGGCCCACTCCCTGTCGGTCTGGGTCTCGTTAAGGAGGCGGTCCCATAGGCGCCGGAGGACGCAGTCGAAAGCTTGCACCGCTCGTTGGTCCACGAGCTGCGCGCGCAGGAGGTGGTTCGGCAGGCCCTGCGCTGTCCAGCGGAGCATAGCGCCGGCCTCTTGGACCCCGAGGCCGGCGGCCACGGCCTCGTCCAAGGTCTGGCCGAAAACCCCCAAGGCCTCCGTAACCTTGCCCATGGCTCGGGCGCCGCCCCCGGAGCCGGCGGCCAGCTCCGCCCAGTCGTCGTCCTGGCGGCGCGTCAGGCCACACCCGAGCACGCGGAGATCATCAACCACGTGGGGCCGCAGTGCCGGGGGGCACTGGGTGTGGCCACGGGGGAGCCACACTTTGGTTTTGGTCGCGTTGAGAACGAGCCCCCAGGCGCTGAGTCTGCCGGAGAGGTCGTGGAGGAATTGCTCAGCCTCTGCGACCGGCACGACTGCAACGACGTCGTCGAGATACGCCGTGACCAGCCGCCCCGGGGAGTTGGCGAAGTGCTGCAACGTCGTTCGGTGGAGGGCCGCCGCGTACGCCGCCGGGCTGAGGGGGCAGCCTTGGGGCACGCCGGACCCAGTGCTAAACTCGTGCAGATCACCCTCCCCGTCGCGCCAGAGGCCCACCGCGGGCTTCGCGTAGAGCCGCGCCAGCAGGCTGCCGTACTCAGGCAGAACCGCGCTGAGGGAGTCAAGGACGGCCTGGCGGGAGACCGTGCCGAAGGCGTTGACGACATCTCCTCCTCCTCCTCCTCCTCCTCCTCCTCCTCGCCTTTCTCCCTTATACCTCCCTCCCTCCCCCCTCCTCCTCCCTCCTCCCTTCCTCCCTACATCCCTCCTCCTCCTCCCTTGCCGCCTCCCTCCTCCTCCCCTCCCTCTACTCCCTTCCTCCCTCCTCCCTTCCTCCCTCCTCCCTCCTCCCTCACTCCTCCTCTCCTCCTCCTCCCTCTCCCTCGGCCCTTCCCTGCTCCTCCTCCCTCCTCCCTCCTCCTCCTCCTCCTCCTCCTCCCTTTCTCCTCCTCCTCCTCCTCCTTCCTCCTCCTCCCTCCTCCTCCTCCTCCTCCATCCTGCTCTGCTCCTGCTCCGCTCCTCATCTCCTCCTTCTCCTCCGCCTCCTCATCCTCCTCCTCCTCCTCCTCTCCCTCCTCCTCCTCCTCCTCCTCCTCTCCCCTCCCTCCTCATCCACTCCCTCCCTCCTCCCTCCCTCCCTCCCTCCTCGTCGTCCTTCTCCTCCTCCTTCATTCCAGGCGCTCCCAGGCACACGCGAAGGGGGGGGGCGCGCATGGCAGACCAGGCCGAGGCAGAGGAGGCCTCCCCAGCGAGCCCAGCCCGCGCGCACGAGATCTCGCGCCGGGAGAGCCCGCGCGGCGCAGAGGACCGCGAGGCCGAGCACCTCGCCTACACTCGGAGGCGACGATAGGGGCGAATATCCGAGGGGAGAGCAATACATGCATTCAGGCGCGCCGATGATCTACACACTCTTCATTCCTAAGTATTCGAAGGTTCCTTGATTTTTTGGGGGGCCAAGATCCTTTCATTTCTGAGGGTTCTAACCTGGGCCTCCTCCTGGCCACCAGGGGGCCAGGAACAATTAGAAACGAGCACAATTAAAACTGGGCACGATTAGAAATGAACGACGTGTATGTCTTCGAAAAGGCTCCCAGGCGAATACGTGCAATGCCCGCCCCTGGGCTATTCGCCCCTATCGTCGCCGCCGATACACGTGGGGCGCTGCAGGGGAATTCTTTTTCGTTGGGGAGGGGCTCAGTGTTCCTGGACTGCTGTGCAGTTGGCCTCGGGTTGTCCTCGGGTGTTCTCGATGGGGAATCGAGATGTTCGTTGGGGAGGGGCTCAGTGTTCCAGGACTGTTGTGCAGTTGGCCTCGGGTTGTCCTCGGGTGTTTTCGATGGGGAGTCGAGATGTTCGTTGGGGAGGGGCTCAGTGTTCCTGGACGGTTGTGCAGTTTGCCTCGGGTTGTCATCGGGTGTTCTCGATGGGGAATCGAGATGGTCGTTGGAGAGGGGCTCAGTGTTCCTTGACTGTTGTTCTCGGCCTCTTAGGTGGGGTCGGTCGGAGGATCGCGCCGCATCGCCGATGCATCGTCGATGCGGCTCGATGTAGGGCCCGATTTGCTTCACGTCGACGTAGCCGATGCATCGCCGATGCATCGCCGATGCGGCTCGATCCTCCGGCCCCATCTGCTTCGACCCCATCTGGGCGGCCTCTAGTGGTGCAGCTTGCCTCAGGTCGTCCTCCGGTTTCCGACGGGAGGTTGCAGGTGAAGTCCTGGGAACGCAAAGGGCTTCGTTCCTTGTGTTGGGTGCCTTGGGTCAACGCCCGACCGTACTGCGAGTGGCCCTTGGGCCAACGCCACGACGCGTGCTTCCCCAACGAGGATGCCGTCCTCCTCGGGGAGGAGGAGGAGGAAAGAGGAAGGAGGAGGAGGAGGAGGAGGAAAGAGGAAGGAGGAGGACGACGAGGACGAGGACGAGGACGACGCCGAGGAAGGAGGACGACGACGAGGACGAGCACGCGTCGTGGCGCTCCTCGTCAAGGGCTCTGAACGAAGCACGCGCGAGTGCACACGCTCGCGTGCAGCCGACGGCGAGCCCACTTCGCGAGCGCCTGGCCTCGGGGCCGGCTCCTCGGAGGCTGGCAGCCCCAGCCAGGGGCCGCGAGGGGCCCTGGCCACGCAGCCCGCGCGCGCGGCCTCGCGCGGTCCCCACCGCGGCCCACGGCTCATCTCGACCCCTCCAATTCCAAGGGCGCCCAGGAGGAGGAGGAGGAGGAGGAGGAGGAGGAGGAGGAGGAGGAGGAGGAGGAGGAGGAGGAGGAGGAGGGGGCTGGGGGGGCCGTGCCGGGCCCCCGAAAGCCGTCAAGCAGCGGCTCGGGATGAAGCGCAGGTGCCCTCCGGAGAGGCCTTCGCGGGGCCGCGTTGCGAGAGGCTCGCGGCGTCGGGAGTCTTTGGGGAACGATAGTATCAAATTATCCCAGTGCGACCCTACCTAGGAGTTGGAACCCCTAGGAAAGCAGCATTAGTAGTAACAGTAACGCTAAGCTAAAGCTAAGCTAAAGCTAAGCTAACGCTAAGCTAAAGCTAAGCTAAATATAAGCTACAGCTAAGATAAAGCTAAGCTAAAGCTAAACTAAAGCTAAGCTACAGCTAAGCTACAGCTAAGCTAAATCTAAGCTAAAGCTAAGCTAAAGCTAAGCTAAAGCTAAGCTAAAACTAAGCTAAAGCTAAGCTAAATCTAAGCTACAGCTAAGCTAAAGCTAAGTTAAAGGCTAAGTTAAAGGCTAAGTTAAACGCTAAGCTAAACGCTAAGCTAAAGCTATGCTGAAGCTAAACTAAAGCTAACGCTAAAGCTAAAGCTAAAGCTCCCAGGGGACAGGGGGAACCGCTCCCAGGGGACTGGGGGAACCGCCCGGGGCGCTTTCCACTGCCCAGCCCCTTTAAGCTAAGAGAGTAAGAACCCTTCTAGGCAGAGCCTAGGTAGGGAAAATTATCCCAGTGCGACCCTACCTAGGAGTTGGAACCCCTAGGAAAGCAGCATTAGTAGTAACAGTAACGCTAAGCTAAAGCTAAGCTAAAGCTAAGCCACAGCTAAGCTAAAGCTAAGCCACAGCTAAGCTAAAGCTAAGCTAAAGCTAAGCTAAAGCTAAGCTAAAGCTAAGCTAACGCTAAGCTACAGCTAAGCTAAAACTAAGCTAAAGCTGAGCAGCAGCTGAGCTAAAGCTAAGCTAAAGCTAAGCTAAAGCTAAGCTAAAGCTAAGCTAAAGCTAAGCTAAATCTAAGCTACAGCTAAGCTAAAGCTAAGCTAGAGCTAAGCTAAAGCTAAGCTAAAGCTAAGCTAAACGCTAATCGAATAGATAAGCGAAACGCTAAGCTAAAGCTAAGCTACAGCTAAGCTAAAGCTAAGCTAAACTAAAGCTAAAGCTAAGCTAAAGCTAAAGCTAAAGCTAAAGCTCCCAGGAGACTGGGGGAACCGCTCCCAGGGGACTGGGGGAACCGCCCGGGGCGCTTTCCACTGCCCGGCCCCTTTAAGCTAAGAGAGTAAGAACCCTTCTAGGCAGAGCCTAGGTAGGGAAATATGCAAACAAAGTCAAACAGTAGTCGAGGGACGATGTTTCGAGTATTTTTGATTATGTTTGATTATTTCCAGATGAAGAAACATGCAAACATTGTCAAAAGTAGTCGAGGGACGAGTTTTCAAGTTTTTAATCATTGTTGAATGTATTTTGTCTGTTTTTGGAAATTTTCGCCCGGAGCCCGCCTGAGGGAGGACATGCCCGACCGAAGTCTGGCATTTTCCTCCTCCCCAGCCCCCTCGCCAGTTGACCCAACAGGGGGTCCAGCGACAGAGGGAAGGTGCCATAATTAGTTGTGGGGTTGCAGCAGATTTGGGGAGCGCGATACAGTCAACCCGCATAGTGAGGATGGGCAACCTTCCCAAGGGTACCTTTGCGTCCTTGCCTCCTCGGTCAATCCTTCGCCGCTTTCGATGGCCGCGCCCCGCTCGAAAAGCTTCGAAGTGGGCGTCCAAGGCCCTCGCATCCTTATCGCGCATCCTTACTATACTGGTTGACTGTACATTCCAGTCCGGATAGTTGCAACACAATGCAAGACAATTCTCTGGTGCATTACAATTGCAACAGTTGCCCCAAAGAGATTGCACCCCCCCCCCCTTCGGCTGGACCCCCCTCCAGCCAAACCCTCCCCCCTCAATATCGGAGCGGCTGGGCCAGTCGCCTGCCGATAACGCTTCGCAGATGGCCAGGAAGGACGCAACTCCATCTTCGTGCTGGTCAGGCGCCTCCTCTGCAGATTCCAGGACCCAGACCCCCGACGTCGTGATTTCTTTAGAACGTCGACCCCCAGAGGTCTGGACCCCTTCCCCGGGACCGGTTTTGCATCCTAAGTCGTCTTTTGACGGCCCCCGGGCCCGGTAAGGGCCCCCAGATGCCGAAAATAGCAAAAAATTGTTCGTTCTTAGTTGCCTCGATACGCCCTTTTTGAAACGCAATACGTCCCGTGTGCAAGACGTCCGTGTCAATGCGTTGCGTGTTGGCTCCACGTATTGGGCCACGTTTTGGCGAATGTGTCGCGTCGGACCTACGTTTTCAGCCTACGTGTTGAGCTCCGTATCGATACGCTACGTGTTGCGTGTTGCGTATCGGGACAACTTAGCTTTCGTCGTGATTTTGTCACAGCGCGAGGAGGTCTGGGGAGGCTGGCCCGTTGCTTCTCCTCCGCGGCGTCCCAAGAGGAGATGTCCCCTGCGCGTGCGCAGGCCGGGGAGCTGAGTTTCTCTGGGAGTCTACTGACAGGAGGGGCACAAACACACAGACACCATGAATCGTCGATCCCCCAGAAAATATATGGGGAGTGGGGGGGGAGACAAACACCCAAAAGATATGGGCAAATCTAGGGAATCCTGTTATTCGCGTCTATTTATTTGTGTGTGTGTGTGTGTGTGTCCCAGGGCCCCGTCAGCTACGCGGTACTGCGAAGGCGCCCGTGGTCTGCGCAGCGCGGAGCGCGAACTTAGGATTTCTAGGTAGTTGCAAGGTTGCTTTCGTTTGAGCTTTCTGGTGTTTGCGAGGGCTCCGCCCCGGGCGTCTTGGGCCAGCCGTGCCTGCAAGTCTTCATCCAGGCTGCTGCGACGACGCAACATGATCATCGTCATCATCATCTCCATCGCCATCATCGTCAGCTGCATCATCATGGATTGCCCAGATCGGAACGATACAGGAACGTACGAATACGGGTCTTGCTCAATGATGGCACGCACACGTCGGGAAGTGCATACGGTGATCGTCACCACCACCACCACCACCACCACCACCATCGTCAGCTGCATCGTCATCATCATCATCATCATCATCATCATCATCATCAGCAGCAGCAGCAGCAGCAGCAGCAGCATCATCACCATCGGCAGCATCATCATCACCGTCGCCTGTATGAGGAGGCGACCCCGCGCCGGCCGCTCCGCTGGCCGGTCCGCTCCGCTGGCCGGTCCGGCCCTCCCGCGAGGGGGCACCCGCGTTGGGACCGCGCTGCTTTGCACGGCGGCCGTGCTTGCCAGCAGCCTGGTCAGCTTCCGGGCCGGCCAGCGGAGCGGCCGGCGGCGGGTGGAGGAGCAGTGCGGCTACACCAGGATCCACGCGTAAGAGATCGGGTCATCACCGTCACCTCGCCGCGCCCCGAAGGACGACGCTGGCCAACCTCGGGTCCCTCTTTCCCAGGCGCCGCGCGGCATCGTCATCGGCAGCAGCAGCAGCAGCAGCAGCAGCAGCAGCAGCAGCAGCAGCATCATCATCATCATCATCATCATCATCATCATCATCATCATCATCATCACCGTCGCCTGTGTGAGGAGGCGGCCCCGCCGCCCTCGCCGCGCCCCGAAGGACGACGCTGGCCAACCTCGGGTCCCTCTTCCCCAGGCGCCTCGCGCGGCGGGCATCTCTCGCCTCGCACGTCCCCCCTCTGCTCGCGGGGGGGGGGGGGGGGGGGCGCTGCTCTCGCGGGCAGACGGGCGGAGGAGGAGGAGGAGAAGGAGGAGGAGGAGGAGGAAGAGGAGGAGAGGAGGAGGGAGGAGGGAGGAGGGAGGAGGGAGGAGGGAGGAGGGAGGAGGGAGGAGGAGGAGGGAGGAGGGAGGGAGGAGGGAGGAGGGAGGAGGGAGGAGGGAGGAGGGAGGAGGGAGGAGGAGGAGGAGGAGGAGGAGGAGGAGGGAGGAGGAGGAGGAGGAGGAGGAGGAGGAGGAGGAGGAGGAGGAGGAGAGGAGGAGGAGGAGGAGGAGGAGGAGGAGGAGGAGGAGGAGGAGGAGGAGGAGGAGGAGGAGGAGGAGGAGAGGGGAGGAGGAGGCGGGAGTCGCAGAGGAGGAGGGAGAGGAGGAAGGGAAGGACGAGGAGGAAGGCAAGGAGGAGAAGCACGACGAGGAGGACGAGGAGGGCGAGGAGGAGAGCGAGGAGGGGAACGGGGGGAGGAGGGGGCACACGAAGGCAGACAGGCTGGGCGCAAAACATGTCGGGGAGGCGTCTTGTGGCTCCCTTGAAGTGTCGGCCAGGCGTACGACACCCAGACCTTGAAGGTCGTAGTGACCTACGGTGTCTCTCCTTGCCCACCCCGTCCCGCACACCGGAGGGAGGTCCGCAAGCCTGCCCCACTAGGGCCCGAGAGTTTTGGGCAGGGCAGCGTGTAGCTTGCAGGCAGGCAGCCCACAGGCTGGGGTGCTTCTTGATCTCATTGAACGAGATGGATATGATGCACTACAGTCGGGGCGCTGAAGAAGGAACCCTGTTCGTTGAGGAGGGGCTCGGTGTTCCTTGATTGTTTTACAGTTTGCCTTGGGTTTTCCTTAGGTTTTCAATGGTAAATCGAAGTTTAACTTATGGACAAAAGGGGCCTCGTTCCTTATTTAGGGTTCCTTAGGTCAACGCCCCGGCTGTACAGGTGCAAGGGCGGCGGGAGCAGCCGAGATCTGTGCTGAAAGAGATGGTGGCAGCCTCAGCGTTAAGCCTCAGGAGCAACTCAACCAATGCCGCGATGATTGTTACCGACACGATCGGGAACATCGGAGTTGCCCGTTTGCGACGCAGATGTGCGGTCCCGCTCACCATGACCATCATCGCCACCGCCATCATCGTAGTCGCAGCAGCAGCAGCAGCAGCAGCAGCAGCAGCAGTAGTCGCAGCAGCGCTAGCGGCAGCCATAGCATAAACAGCAACAGTTCCAGCAATATCAGCAGCGTTTGCTTTCGACGCCCGAAGCAGTCTGCTTCAGCACTTTTGGCTACCAGCCGCGCGTTTCTAGCAAGCCTCGCCAGATCCGTACGACATGGCGCTACTCCTCGACGGATTGACCCAGGTAAGCATTCCGGAGCAGAAGGAGTTGGACGATGGGAGCGGTGTTTTCCCGCTCGCGCTCGCGCCGTGCGCAGGGACGACCATGACTGCGAGCCAGCTTGGCCAGTGGACGAAGAGACACACCGCCAAGCTGCGGGAGTTGGCGATGCGACACGGCGCAGTGCTCTTCCGGGGCTGCAGAGTTCGCGGTGCCCAGGATTTTGCCGCGATGTCTGGCTCTGTGGACTGCGAGGGCTATGACTACATCGGCGGCGCGGCGCCGCGGACGGAGCTCGTGCCCGGCCTGGTCTTCACCTCGAACGAGTCGCCGCCAGACCAGCCGATCCCTTTCCACCATGAGCTGGCGCAATCGCCAGAGCCGCCGTCTTACATCCTCTTCCACTGCGAGACCGCCTCGGCGGAGGGCGGTGCTACACCTATTATCCACTCGGAGGAGGTTGCAAAGTTCTTCGAAGCAACCTACCCAGAGTTCGCCGGCAAGGTGGCGGCGCTGGGTGTGCGCTACATCCGAGTGATGCCAGAGGTGACGGACCCCACCTCTGCACAGGGCCGCTCTTGGAAGGAGACGTACAACGTGTCCACGCGCGAGGAGGCCGAGAAGGCCATGCGTCGGCAGGGCACGGAGTACGAGTGGCTGCCCAACGGCGACTGCCGGACAACGACGGCCATCTTGCCGGCGCTCCGCGTGGATGGGCGCACCGGGAAGCGTGTCTTCTTCAACTCCATGATCGCCGCCTTCACGGGATGGAACGACTCGCGGAACGTGGGCGAGAAGGCGGTCGTGCTTGGCGACGGCTCGCCCGTGGACGCGCAGGCGATGCGCGGGGTCGCCCAGTTCATGCAGGAGCGGCGCGTGGCCTTCGAGTGGCACCAGGTCGGAGGGCGCCGACCAAGCTCAGGAAGGGGAAAACACACAGACACACTTCATCGTCGATTCCCCCAGGAAGACATGAGAAGATATGGGAAGTGGAGGGGGGAAGACGAAAACCCAGAGGATGTGGGACAGGATGGGGAACCCTGGGAGTCGTGCCTACTTGTTTGTGTGTCCCTGGGGCCCTTTTGTATGATTGGCGCCCTCCGACCAGGGCGACATTCTCTTCATAGACAACACCCTGGTGATGCACGCGCGCGACACCTTCACGCCGCCGCGGCGCGTGCTCGCGTCCCTCCGCGGGCTGCCGCTCGCCGAGGCGGCGGTGCAGCCCGCGGTGCAGCCGGCGGCGGCACCCATGCGCGTTGGGATCATCGGCACGGGCGCCATGGGCAAGGATCGAGCAGTGGCGGAGCGTCCCGGCTCGCCTGTAGGCCGCGAAAGAATGGTCTAGGAACCTGGTCTGGTCTGCGCGAAAGGTTCTTAGAGCATTTCTGGCCGAGATTGTCTTGTGCTATCACATCGGGTTTCTGCTGTGAGAGCAGTGTTTCAGAGCCCCGAATCATCAGGGGTAACTCGGGTCAGGGCTAACTCGGGTTCGTTTTTCGGGAACCCAAACCCGAGTTATCCCGGACCCGAGTTACCCCGGATAACTCGGGCGTCCATTTGTTCTCGTTCTGAGAACACTTGTCGGTTCGAAGGACATGTCGTGGCAGGCCTATAGGAATGCCAGGACGGCCGGCCCCTGCTCCAAAGGAGCACATTCGCAACATCGAGCTGCTGGGCGAGGACGCGGCGGTCGTCGCCGCCGTCGCCGACTCCAGCGAGCAGGCCCCGGGAGGATGGGGCAACAGATTTAGTTCTTGTGTCTCTGTCTCTATATCACGCGCTCTCGCCCTCTCTCGTTCTCGATTCTCCTCTTCATATTTTTACGAGCCGGGGAGGGGGGGGCGCCCCCCCCTCCCAAAAAAAACAAAGGGACCTTCCGGATCCGTGGCCCCGGGGCTCCCTGGACGCACCTGCAGAAGGTCCCTTGGGCTTTCGGGCCTGGGCCTAAACAACGGGCCCAAATCGGTCAGGAGGGCGGCCGAACGGCCCCCCGAGGGCCCCAAGAGGCCCCAGACACCCACCAGACGCCCCAAAGAAGATATTCAAGGGGCTTTCTAAACAACAAATACATGATTTCCCATGGGATGTTGCATGATTTGGGGAATGCTCCGTCCTTCGGTCTTCTGGGCGTCCGAGACCGCGAAGGAGGCCAGCAAATCCCTTCCAAACTATCCGAAAGGGCTTCCAGGCAGTCCAAGAGAGCCCCAAGATGGCCCAACAGGGTCTCAAGATGGTCCGAAGAGAGCCCCATGACGGCCCAAGATGGCCCCAAGACGCCCCCCGAAGCATTCCAGGTCGTGACCCGGTCAGGGAGACCGCGGTTGAACGCAGGGTGGCCCGAGGTGGCCCCAGAAGGCGCCCAGGAGGCTTCCAGAAGGCCCAAAGAAACCCTGAGGCTCTCCAAGGAGGAGACTCCGCAAAAACAATTGAGGACGATGAGGAAGAACTCGCATGGTAGGGCTAGAATGAGGAAGAGGAAGAAGAAACATGAGGGAAGGATGATCACATGTTTGTAACGATGGTGTTGGCAAAGACAACATATATGTATCGTTAAATGGTATGTGTCTCGGCCTGAATGCCAAACTTTGAGGACCAAGGTGCATGGCTTGAAGCGCCAATGCAGTCTCTCTCACATATATATATACATAGCGACATGTGTGCGGAAGGGATGTATGTAATGGCAACATGTATGTAAGTGTGAATGTGTGCATGCATGCATGCTGCATGTGAGTATGTGTGGATGCATGTGTGGACGTATGTAAGTAAGTCATGTATGTATTTATGTCTGTATGTCTATATTTGTATATATGACTGAACGTACGTATGTACGCATGTATGTGGTTAATGTCTGTCTGTCTGTCTGTCCATATGCATGTATGAATGTGATCAATGTATACATGTATGTCTGTGTATATGTATGTGTGTATGTACGTACGTACGCATGTACGACTGTTAGTAAGGTACGTATGCAAGGAAGGCATGTGTGTCTGCCAGTCTGTATGTATGTGTTTACTTTTGCACGGACGTATGTTGGTATGTCTGTGTTCCCGTATGTATGTATGTATGTATGTATGTGTGGATGTGTGTTTGCATGGATGTATGCATGCATGTATGTGCGTACGTACGTTTGTATTTATGCGATTAATGTATGTATGTATGTAGGTATGTTATGTCTGTCTGGATGTACGTGTGCATGTCTGGAGTTATGTCTGTACGCAAGCATGGCTTTAATGTATGTCTGTCTGTCTGCACGTATGCATGTATGTACGTGTGTGTGTGTCTGTCGTTATGTTTGTCTGAATGTATGCATGCATGTATGTGTGTATGTACGTTTGAATTTATGTGTGTACGCATGTATGTCATGTACGTATGTATGTGTGTACGAGCGTACGTACGTCTGTATGTATGTATGTATGTACGTCATGAATGTATGTACGTTTGTTTGCATAGATGTGTGTATGCATGCACGTGCAAACGTGAGGACCCATGTAATTCATTGCGTGTACATATGTGTCTCAGTCCCTCTGCATGGATGCATTATGGTGTGAATGCACGCATGTACTTAATGTATGTGGTTATGCCTGTGCGTCTTTATGTATACTTGTTTGTATGTATGCGTGTTCGTACGTATGCATGTATGCCTGTGAGTAATGTGTGTCGGTCTGTCTGTATGTGTGTACGTGTACGCATGTACTCAATGTATGCCCGTGTGTATGTCTATACGTATGCGTGTATGAATATACGTACGTAGTATGTGTGTATGTACGCAGGTACATCATGTGTATATATATATATATATATGTGTTGATGTATGTGTGGAAGCAGTTAATGTATGCATGTGTGTATGCATGTGCGTACGTAGGTAAGTATGTAACTAGTTGGTTAATGTAGGTATGGCTGTGTGCCTGTGTGTATGCATGTATGTGTGTATGTATGCAGTACGTACTTGATGTATATATGTGTATGCGGCTGCCTCCCTGTGTGTCTGTATGTGTCTATGGATGCACGCATGTGCATGCATAGATAGATCATGTATGTATGTATGTATGTACGCAAGTGCGTGTGCAATGTAAGTAATGTATGTATGCCTGTCGGTATGATTGTCCCTGTGTCTGTCTGTATGGAAACAATGTATCTCTGTCTGCATGTATGCTTGTAAAATTTGCTGTCTGTCTGTCTATCTGTCTGTCTGTCTGCAATGTGAGCATGTCTGTATGGCTGCCTGTATGTATGTGTATGGCATGTGCGTATGTCAGTTATGTTGGAATGCACGCACGTATGTATGTATGTATGAATAGAATGTGTGTGCGTACTTATGTATGTACGTCCGCACGTACGCATGCAGGCATGTGGTACACATGCAGGCATGTGTGTAATCAATGTATGCACGCATGTCTGTCTGTCAGCCTGTCTGAATGTACGAATGCGTACCGTCGTGCGCAATTCACTTATGTGTGTATGTACGTGTGTTTCTATGTATGTATGTATGCATATCTGCTTGCAAGTAATCTTGTACGTACGTATGTATGCATGTGTGTGGGTGTTCATGCATGTGTGTATGCATTAAGGATTTGTATATATACACATGTATGTGTGGGTATATATATACATACACAGATGTATGGATTGCTGCCTGTATGTATGTAAACAGCAATGCATGTGTGTACGTATGTGCGCATGCATGTATGTGTGCGTAGGTGTAGTTGTATGTGTGTATGTGTGTGTATGTGTGTATGTATGTATGTATGTGTGTATGTATGGATGTATGGATGTATGGATGTATTGATGTATGTATGTATGTATGTATGTATGTATGTATGTATGTATTTATGTATTTATTTATGTATGTATGTGTACACGTGTATATATGTATGTAGGTATGTATGTATGTATGTATGAATGTATGTATGTATGTATGTATGTATGTATGTGCATATGTAGACAGTCCCTGAGCAGCTTGTCAACAAGGGCTCTGCACGTCTCCACTGACCTGGGGTGCACGAACATGGAATAGCGATCCATGGACTTGGCGCGCGGTCGCCAAAGCCGTGGATCGGGGGAAGCGCCCTCCCCAAAAAGGCGGCGAGTGCCGTCGCGCGCGGCGGCGCAAATCCGCGATTTCCCATGGAAGCGGGACCCGTCGCTAATCCACGCACCCGACGTCATGATTTGTTCATTGCGTCGACCCCTGGAGGTCTCGACCTATTCCCCTGGACCGGTTTTTCATCCTGAGTCCTTTTTTGACGGTCCCGAGGGGCGGTAAGGGCCTCCAAAGGCGGAAAATAGCGAAAAACCTCTCGTCATGATTTTTTCATTGCCTAGGGGGTCTGGGATCCATGTTTGCGATCGCCCGATCTGAGAGAAGGCAGCAGGCGCGCTGCCGAATGCCAGAAGCCTGCGACAAGCAACGTGGCCTCTCTCGGGAACCCCCAAATGATACGGTGACCACGCCGTGCGTTGAGCCAGTGGGGATTCGGGGTCACCGCACGGTTTTGGGACTCGGGTCGTTCTCCGAGCACGTCTCGGGCGACAGGGGCCTCCGAGGTCCCAAGACCGTGCGGCGACGGACCGTGCGGTGAGGTCTTGGGGGATTTCGAGGTCACCGCGTGGTGCGTCACCGAGCCGTTTCGGGACTCCGAACTCTCCCGCGGCGCCGCCGGTGGCCCACCGTCTTGCCTCCCATGGCCGCACGCAGCCTCCCGATGCCTCTCCCGTGGCCCCCCACTGCCACCCCTGCCCTTCAGTCGGGCGTGTCCTTCCAAAGGAGGAATATTCAAACATTGTCTCACAAATAAAACTCTGGGGGCGATGCTTCTCACATTTTTTACCATTTTTGAAGATGTTTTGATTTTTTCTAGTGTTCGTCCAGAGCACCCCCGTAGGGGGCACGCCCGACCTAATGCCACCCCTACCCTTCAGTCGGGCGTGTCCCACGACGGGAGGAAGATTCGGAAAGAGTCAAAAATATGGTTTGGGGAGATGTTTGGCTAGTCTTGACTGCTTTCGAGCATTGTTGTTGCCTGTTGTTACCTAACAGCTTTTGCTGATATGTTTCTAGTGGTGTCAAAAGACCAGGGGGGTGTGGGCGGGAACCGAACAAGACCGGCAAGCCTGGGAATCCTTAGGAATATTTAGGAATTATTAGGAATCCTTCGGAATCCATTCCCAGAACACCATTCCCAGGCCCCATGTTGAATGCCCGGAGCCAACTGTAGGCCATTTCGTGTTCTTCGTGTTCCCAGAACACCATTCCCAGGCCACATGTTGAATGCCCGGAGCCAACTGTAGGCCATTTCGTGTTCTTCGTGTTCCCAGAACACCACTCCCAGGCCACATTTTGAATGCCCAGAGCCGACTGTAGGCCACTTGGTGTTCTTCGTCTTCCCAGAAACCAATTCCCACGCCACATTTTGAATGCCCAGAGCCAACTGTAGGCCACTTCGTGCCCTTCGTGTTCCCAGAACATTAGTCCTGTGTCATATTTTGAATGCCCGAGCTGAGGCAGGCTGAAGCCGAGGCAGGCTGAGGCCGAGGCAGGCTGAGGCTGAGGCTGAGGCACGCAGAGGCAGGCTGAGGCTGAGGCTGAGGCAGGCTGAGGCTCAGGCAGGCTGAGGCTGAGGCTGACGCAGGCTGAGACCGAGGCAGGCTGAGGCTGAGGCTGAGGCAGGCTGAGGCTGAGGCTGAAGCTGTGGCTGAGGCTGAGGCAAACTGCGGCTGAGGCAGGCTGAGGCTGAGGCTGATGCAGGCTGAGGCTGAGGCAGGCTGAGGCTGAGGCTGATGCAGGCTGAGGCTGAGGCCGAGGCAGGCTGAGGCTGAGGCCGAGGCAAGCCGAGGCATGCTGAGGCTGAGGCTGAGGCTGAGGCTGAGGCTGAGGCAGGCTGAGGCTGAGGCTGATGCAGGCTGAGGCTGAGGCCGAGGCAGGCTGAGGCTGAGGCTGAGGCTGAGGCTGAGGCTGATGCTGAGGCAGGCTGAGGCTGAGACAGGCTGAGGCTGAGACAGGCTGAGACTGAGGCTGAGGCAGGCTGAGGCTGAGGCTGAGGCTGATGCAGGCTGGGGCTGAGAGGCTGACGCTGAGGCTGAGGCAGGCTGAGGCTGAGGCTGAGGCTGAGGCAGGCTGAAAGCTGAGGCTGAGGCAAGCCGAGGCAGGCTGAGGCTGAGGCTGAAGCACGCCGAGGCAGGCTGAGGCTGTGGCTGTGGCTGAGGCTGAGGCAAGCTGCGGCTGAGGCAGGCTGAGTTTGAGGCTGAGGCTGAGGTTGAGGCAGGCTGAGGCTGAGGCTGAGGCAGGCTGAGGCTGAGGCTGAGGCCGAGGCAGCTGAGGCCGAGGCAAGCCGAGGCAGGCTGAGGCTGAGGCTGAGGCTGAGGCTGAGGCAGGCTGAGGCTGAGACAGGCTGAGGCTGAGGCTGAGGCAGGCTGAGGCTGAGGCAGGCTGAGGCTGAGGCCGAGGCAGGCGAATCCTTCGGAATCCTTAGAATTCCATGGGAATCCTTATTAGGAATCCTTAGGAATCCCTAGGAATCAGGTTTCCTGAGGATTCCTATATATTCCTAAGGATGCCTAACGATGCCTTAGGCATCCCTAGGAGTCCTTTGGATTCCATTGGATCCTAAGGCCGTTGCCATTGCGACTGTCATTGCAAATGCGACTGCGACTGCGAGAACAGCAGAATTCTACAACTGGATTCTCACATGAATCTTAAGGGGAATGCTTCCAGATATGCTTATACACATCGCTGTTAGGTTGCTTTGCCGGGAAAACTGTATTTTTTCGTCTTCCAGAATCCGCATGTAGGAGGCCATGCCCGACCGAACCCTGCCCTTCTATCCCGACCCCTCTTATCCTTAAGTCGGGCACGTCCCTCTCCAGGAGGAATCTATTCAAAACTAGTCAAGAAAACAGTCTGGGGACGATGTTTTGCGTATTCTTGGTTATGCTTGAGCCTTTCCTTGGTATTTTTCATTTTTCCTCCAAATCCCGCCCTGTGGGGGAGGGGGGGCAACAGGCCCGACCTAAAGTTACCCCCATCCTGTGTCCCCACCCCGACCTGCGGCCCCATGCCCTAGCTGAAGGGGTCCAGGGACACACAAAAAATACACACAAATAACCTTCCCCCTATTTTCCTTTATTTTCTTGGTTTTTGTCTTCCCCCCCCCACTTCCCATCTTTTCCCATATTTTCTTTGGAATCGACGATTAGAATTGTGTCTGTGCTTTTTTCCCCTCCTGACTAGCAGGACTGACCCGGGGCGGGCTGCCCACCGTCCAGCCTCTGGAGGGATGCTGCTCGAGGGCGTTGGGCCTCCCCCTTCTCTTCGCGCGGCTCCCCTGCCGCTCTGCACCTGCCCCACCCGGCCCTGGTCTGAAGCCGGGCACGTCCCCCGACAGGGCGCACACTCCAAGACAACAAAAAAAGTGGTACTGGGACGCGTTTTTTCACGCTCGTGGACAATTGTTGGATATGTATTGATTACTTTTGTTTTTAAATCCGCATGTGGGGGGACATGCACGACCCAACCCTAGCCATATACCCCGATCCCTCCCCCGATCCCCCCATCGTGGCCACCATCGCAGCCGTGTAAGATTGGTCAGGGCGTTCTGCCGCAGCGACGTTGCCCTGATCGGATCCAGTCGTTGTTGTCAGGGGGGCCAGACCTCCTCAGGCCCCGGCGCCCGGTCCACCGAGGAAGAAAGTAAGGGTCGACCCACATTGGGGGCATCACTGTGCCGATCCGCGCTACAGAAATAGGCGCAGAAGTCCAGCCCAGGAACAGGCCTAGAGATCGGCAGAGCACGAATTTGTGGCTAAACCACGATCGTGAAACGTATCCTCGAGAGGCGTTATATATATATATATATACACGTATTACAGTATTAGTTCGCAGGACAGTGCTGGCATGAAGGGCCTTCTCCGAGGTAATTCTCCAGCTGGCCTCGTCGGGGGCCGAGGCCCCGCCCACCGGGCCCCGCGCCCGCCGCCGTGCCTGGTGGGTCTGGCCGCAGCTGGCCACGGCATCCGGCCCGGAGGGTCCCGCCTGCGAGAGCCACAGCATGCTCGCGAACACCAAAACATTACTACTACTACTACTACTACTACTACTACTACTACTACTACTACTACTACTACTACTACTACTACTACTACTACTACTACTACTTCTACTACTGCTACTACTACTACTACTACTACTACTACTACTTCTACTACTACTACTATTACTACTACCACCACCACTACTACGACTACTACTGCTACTGCTGCTACTACTACTACTACTACGACTACTACTACTCACTATACTACTACTACTATTACTACTACTTACTGCTGCTACTTACTACTACTACTAATCCTACTTACTGCTACTGCTACTGTACTACGATACTATACTACTACTACTACTACTACTACGACTAGCTACTACTACTACTACTACTACTACTACTACTACTACTACTACTACTGCTATACTATTACTCACTTACAACACCACTATACGACTACTATGCTACTACTACGACTATTACTACTACTACTACTACTATACGACTACTACTACTACTACTACTACTACTACTACTACTACTACTACCCGTACTACCCGTACAACCCGTACTACTACTACTACTACTACTACTACTACTACTACTACTACTACTACTACTACTTCAACTACTACTACTACTACTACTACTACTACTACTACTACTACTACTACTACTACTACTACTACTACTACTACTACTACTACTACTACTACTACTACTACTACTACTACTACTACTACTACTACTACTACTACTACTACTACTGATTCTACTACTACTACTACTACTACTACTACTACTACTACTACGACTACTACGACTACTACGACTACTACGACTACTACTACTACGGCACTACCTATATACTTCTACTACTACCACCCCACCACCCCACCACCCACACCACCACTCACGACTACTACTACAACTATACTACTACTACTACTACTACCTATACTACTACTACTACTACTACTACTACTACGACTACTACGACTATACTACTACTACTACTACTACTACTACTACACGACTACTTACTACTACTACTATACTACTACTACACCACCACCACCACCACACTACTACTACTACTACTACTACTGCTGCTGCTGCTGCTGCTGCTGCTACTACTACTACTACTACTACTACTACTCAGGATCCCGCCCATGAAGTCCCGGCCTTCTGAGGCTCAGCCAGCTCTATTATTCTTCGTGGGTTACGCGCCAACGGGCCCTCATGGCCAACATTTGCGCCACCACCAACGACGACTTCATCAAAACAAGGTTCCCGAAATCGCGCTTGCCCAAAACAGTGCGTGCACGGAGGGCTCCTTGTTGATGTCCTAGAACATCGGCTCCGCGCGCTGGTTCACACGGCTGCCCACTCGTTGGCTCACAGGGCATTGGCCTCACCTCGTACGAAGGGAACTACTCAGAGGGCCCCAGTATCAGTTGCCTTCTGTGCTCGCTTGCCGCTGGTTGCCCATGTTCTTCCACCCACAGGGTCTCGGCCGCAGTCGCTCTGCGGTCTGCGTGTCGGTGGCTCCCCGTCTGGTCCGCCCCTTGGGGATCGGGTCCTGGCCTTCGTCGCCCTGCGCGCCGACCTTCCGACGGCTGCGCATGGATTCCGCCCATGGAGTTCCAGTCTCGGTTGCCCTGGCTAGTGGCGTTCCTCGCAACCTGACAGTCCTGGTGCTGGGTACACTGCCTGCCCCCACAGGTTGATGCCCATCGGGTGTGGCCCACACGGCCCCAGCCAGAGTCGTTTGTGCGTTTTTGTCGGAGGGCCGTGGCCCGTCCGTGGAGTCTCGTCCATGGGATCCTGGCCTTCCTTGCTTGCTTTGCGTGCTGGTTTCCTCGTGGTTGCCCACGGAGTCCCGCCGATGGCGTTCTGGCCCCTTGAGCTGCCTGGTGCCAACTTACCAGTAGTATTGAAAATCCTGTTTTGAAAATCAAGGCATATCCCAGGCGACGCCATTGATGTTGAAAGGCGACCTTCAGCCGAAAGGGTCGCCCAGTCATCCCACTGTCCTGGCCTCGAGGCCCGGCTGGAGGCGCTGCAGGAGCTTGGCATGCTGGCCAGCAGGTGCAAGGTGTTCGAGAACTACGCAGACCTGCTCGCCTGCGAAGAGGTAGTCGGGGCTGGCAAAGGGTGGATGATGACTAGGGGGGGGGGGATATCATGGCGTGGGCCAAGATTTTTCCCTTGATTCTTCCCCAGATTTCATTACGTCCCTGCCCCCCCCCTTTGGGCCGCGCACGTGCCGCCGGCCATGATTTGCACCCCTCCCTCTGAGACACCCCCCTCTTGGCCGCCCCCGAGAAGAGGTAGACGCAGTCGTCGTGTGCACGCCCAACTTCCAGCACATCGAGGTGCTGCGCCTGGCGATCCCGACAGGCAAGCACATCCTGTGCGAGAAGCCGCTGTGCACGACCGTCCGGGACTGCGAGGAGGCAAGCCAGCCACAACTGGGGGAGCTGTGGTCCTTACCCCCCTGGGGGACCCATCGATTTCGACACCCCTCTCGAGAGATCGTCGATGCGATGGGTTCCCCCAGGGGGGTAAGGACCACAGCTCCCCCAGTCATGGCTGGTCGGGGAGGTGGAGCGGTTGCTCGAGGAGCATGCCTCCGTGAGGGGCATCTTCATGACGGGCATGGAGTACCGCTGGATGCCACCGATCCAGCAGCTCATCCGCGAGACAGACAGCGGCAGCCTGGGAAGGCTGCACACGGTGACCATCCGGGAGCACCGGTTCCCTTTCCTGGTCAAGGTGAACAATTGGAACCGTTTCAACAAGTACACCGGTGGCACCTTGGTCGAGAAGGCCTGTCATTTCTTCGACCTCATGCGTCGGATCGTTCGCAGCGATCCAGTCACCGTGTATGCCACGGGCGGCCAGGCCATGAACCACAAGGACGAGGTCTTTGAAGAGGGCCAGCCCGACATCATTGACCACGCTTTCGTCTGCGTGGACTTTGCGAACGGCGCCCGCGGCATGCTCGACCTGTGCATGTTCGCGGAAGACGAGCAGACCGAGCAGGTGACTGCCGTCTGCGAGCTCGGCAAGGTCGAGGCGCGGGCGCCGGAGTCCACCGTCCGCATCCTCCGGCGCAAGCAGATCCGAGGCCTGGGCCGCACTCCCCCGGCACCCTCCGAGCGCGGGGCGGTCAGGGCTCAAGAGACCCAGACATGATCGCGTCGTGGAAAAATCAGGACGGGAGGGTTTGGGCCGTTTTCGGCCTCGGGAGACCCTCGCCGGACCTCGGGAGCGCCAGAACAACTCAGGACGAAAAACTGGCCCCAGGGAACGGGTCGGGAGTTCCAGGGACCCCGTATTGGAAAAAAATAGAACGTTGCATGTCTGGGGGGACGGGGTTCAGTACGCAAACAGGGTTCAGTCAGAGCGCCAGACCTTGCAGGATCCTGCAGAGCCAGGGGTGCGTTGACCCGGGCTTGGGCACAGGATCCTGCAGGATCCTGCAGGACCTTGCAGGATCCTGCACAGCCTGACTTACCCGGGTCTGAATCGACCCGGGTCAGAAGATCCCCGAGGTGGCGCAGGTGCACAACCTGCCCGTCCCCGCGGACCTGGCCAAGGCCGGCTACCATGAGGGCGCCACGTTCTTCGAGCTCCGGGAGTTCGTGGCCGCGGCCATGGGCAGGCAGGAGGTGCCGGTGTCCGCCCGCGACGGCAAGGTCGCGGTGATGGTCGGCACGGCCGCGCAGCAGTCGATCCTGACGGGCAAGGCCGTGCACCTCGCCGACGTCGCCACCGAGGCGCACGGCGCGGGGCAGCCCCAGGCCCAGGAGCCGTCCATGAAGCTGCAGGTTTCGACGAGTGGCGCTCGACCCATGGTCTCCTCGCTGCTCCCCCCCCCCTACGGGACGTGAAAACGACCACAGCCCCTGCTTTTCTTTTGTTGCCTCCTTCCAGCCAGCAGAAACAAAGCAGTGGCTGTGGTCATTTTCGTTAAGGTTGGCACCAGGGAAATGACCACAACCACTGCTTCTTTTTCGGCCGGCTGGAAGGCGGCGCAAACAAGAAGCAGTGGCTGTGGTCATTTTCCCGTCCCGCACCCGCCCCACTCGGAGCGCCAGGGGGAGCAGAACGTGGTCAGGTCGGCCCTGTCCCACTACAGGAGGAATTTTCAGACATAACATTAAGAAGTACGGGGGCGATGTTTTGAATATGTTTGATATTTGTGCGTATGTGTTTAAATATGTTTGTTTTTTCGTTCAAAATCAGCCTGTATGGGGGACATGCCCGACCTAAGAATCTGGATAAAAAAGCGCGACCTGGGAGGCCAGAATGTCATCCATGCAACCGCCCTGGCCCCTCGCAGGGTCGGGGCGTCAGCAGGGGCACGGCATGGGCAGAGGGTCGATCGCCTGAGGTTGTGCCAGCGTCCGGGGCAGCAGGGCCAGTGCCGCACATCAAGTCCAAGCTGTGATGCAGTCGACGATGTCGCAGCAAGGCGCCACTGGTAGGTTTTATAGGTGGAGAGAGGGACGTGTCAGGCGAAGGGCGCACCATGTCCTACGGCTCCAGCCGCTGCAGCCATTGCTGCTCGTGCTGTGCTGGACTAGTTTCTGCGATCACCAGGGCGACACTCATGATCGCCTATGCCACGGGCTTCGCAGAGAAGGGAGGCAGAAGGGGAGAGAGAGAGAGAGAGAGAGAGAGAGAGAGGGGGCGGGGAGAGGGGGCGGGGAGAGGGGAGAGGGCGGGGGACGCAGTCGGGCGAGCAGGCGTCCGTGAGGGCGCGCGGGGAGCTGGCGCAGCTGGAGGGCTCGCGGGGAGATCGAGAGGGCAGGGCGGCGAGGCGGGGCGGAGAGGCGAGCGGGCGCCGCGGCGACCGAGAGCTGCAGGGCGCCTGCCCCGCGGGTGCACACGCAGGCCGTGTGTCCTCTCTGCCCCGCGCCGGGCGGAGGTCCCGAGGGGGGGCGCCCGGCCGAGCTATGGGAGGCGAGAGGGGGCGAGGGGGGGGAGATCGGGGGCGGCGTGGGGGCGAGGGGGGGTGGGGCGAGGGAGGAGAGGCGAGAGGGGGCAGGGAGGAGGGCGGGGGGCGGCGTGGGGGCCGTCTTGGGCGCCATCTTGGGCGCCATCGTGGGCGCCCTCGTGGGCGCCCTCGCGGGCGCCCCGCGGGCGCCTCGTCGCCCCGTGGCGCTGGCGGGGTGCGCCGAGCTCCTGTCGCCCGGGGGGGTGGGCGCGCCTCGTGGGCGCCGTCCCGTGCGCCGGCGGGGCGCGTGGAGAGGCGTCGCCCAGGGGGGTCAAACAGTGGCGAAGCGTCCCGGCTCGCCCACAGGCCCACCAAGCAGTGTTCTAAGAGCTTCTTGTGGTTCGCACGAGATGTTCTTCGAACTTGTCTGGCCAGGGCTTTTTTGTTTTACCACATCGGGCTCACGTTATAAGAACATTGCTTTTGTTCAGAGAACATTTTTTTGCACGAGCGAAATGGGCACGGAAAGAATGGGTACAATGCCCAACAGCAGTTCCTGTTCATTCTGAACAGGACTAGCTGTCGGTGCCGCCGGGTCTGTGTCCATTCGAGACAGAAGGCCGCCTGCCCAACAGCGGCCGCTGCTGGTTTGGGACAACATTTGTTGTTGGGCATTGTACCCTTTCCGTACCCATCTCGGGCGTCCAGATGTTTGGGATCTGAGAACATCTCGTGGTAGGACTCTCAGGAGTGCCGGGACGGTCGGCCCCCGCTCAACGGGGGGGGAGGGCGGCCGTCGGCCCCTCCTCGCGGCGCCTGCGCTGCAGCGGAGGCCCAAGCCAAGAAGCGCCCTGCCTGCCTCCACCGGGAGAGAGAATCCGGCGACCGCAAGCACGGATGGGGGGGGGGGGCGTGGGTCAGCGACGGGCCCCGCTTCCACGGGAAATTGCGGATTGCCACCGCCGAGCGAGGCGGCAGCGGCCGCACTTTGGGGAGGGCACCTCCTCCCCCGATCCAGGGATGTGGCGACCGCGCGCCACATCCATGTATCGCGAATCCGTGTTTGCGCGCCCCTGGAAAAACACCATAAGCATAATCTTGTGGCGCTCCGCGCGGGTTTCGTGGATCCGTGCTGGGGCGCCCTGGCGGCGCTTCAGTGCGCCGCCCCTGGCGTGCCCCGCGCGCCAGGGCGGGGGGTCCAGCGCGGATCCCAGAAATCTGCGCGGAGCGCCAACAGTTTATGTTTATATGTGTTTTCTTCCTCTACTCCAACGTGCACTAGGTTTCCTGGGGTCTCGAGGGTTCTGCTGTGGAAGGCGTGGCGCTCCCGCACCGAAGATCAATGGACTGTCACTGAAATGTCAGGTTTGGGGGTTTCTTGTGGGAGGTGTCGTGTGGTCGAGCTCCTACTGCACGCTTGCTTGCCTTGCAGACAGCTGAAGCCGATCGTGAGGACGAGCGACTTCCCAAGGGTGCCCTTGTAGCCTTGCCTCCGCGGTCCGTCCTCAGCCGTTCCCGACGGCCAGCCCGCTCGGAGAGCCTCGACACGAGCGTCCGAGAGGCCTGCATATCCTTGTCGCGCAGCCTTGCGCTTAGTTTTTAGGCTGTAGCTGATCCCACGTTGCTTGCACCTCAAAGCCTGCACCGCATGAATTGCGTCACGAAGCCCGCGGAAGCCTACAAACCGTGCGCCCTCTCGCGTTTGAGGTGAGGTGTGTGGTCAGTGTGAGACAGAAGACTTGCGGCACAAAGCTCCACCACATGTTTTACACCGCGCAGTCTGCACTGCGTGGCTTGCAGCACACGCGGCTTGCACCTGCACCACATTGCCTGCACAGCATCACTGGCACCACCGATCGGTTGCACCACGTTTACTGCAGCAGACCTAGTTTGCACCGCATAGTGTGCACCACACAGCCTCAACCACCGAGAGCGCAAGAACTCACAGCGTGGGGTCCACGTTGGCAAACATTGTTAAATCGCTTCGTCTACACAAGAGCACTGGGTATCCGAAGCTTCCGCGACCATTGTTTTTCACATGTTCATTTGTCACGAACTACCGTCACGACGTATGTTGTTGCTTCCCGCGTGGCGACTGGCTTGCATTGGAAGCGCAGGGCTTTCGAGCTCTGCTTCCCAAGAACAGTGAAGCAAAGCGACAAGTTCAGTGCTTGCAAAGGACCGCTCCCTACACGAGATCACCGCAGCAGATATCGCAGTGCAGTCAGAAGTGGGCAAGGTATGTCGATAACTAAACGACGGCATATACGCAAAATTGCCCGAGCCCCGCGCGGATTCCTTGGATCCGCGCTAGGCCCCCTTGGCGGCGCCTCCGGCGCCGCCTCTGGCGCGCTCCGAGCGCAAGGGGAGGAGGCTCAGCGCCGATCAAAGAAATCCGTGCGAAGCTCCGAAAGTTTCTGTGTGTGTGTGTGTGTTTTTGTTTCTCCCTCGGCGACTGCAGTTCGAGCACGCGGAAGACAAGCCGTGTTTGACCGTCGCGTTCGTGGCGCCAGGACCCCTGCGCCTGCTCAGAGCCGCGTGCCCGGTCTCACTCGGCCACACGTATTCGTGGCCTCTCGCCAGAGTCGGGGGCGGAAAAGAGGGGGGTGATGACTAGGGGGGGGGTGGATATCATGGCGCGGGCCATGATATCTCCCCAGATCTCATGGCGCCTCTTCTTGTTCCATTACGTCCCTGGCCCCCCCGCTGGGCCGCGCACATGCCGCCGGTCATGATTTGCACCCCCCCCTCTTGGACACCCCCCTCTTGGCCGCTCCCGAGCCAGAGGGGCCCTCGGTGCGGGCACGTCGGGGGCCCCAGCTGGCTGATTTGCGATGCGGTGGCATCGTCTCGCGCGCTCGGGTTCGGCCTCCCCGCAGCCCCCGGGGGCCGCGCACCAAGAGAGCCTCTCTTGCCCTGCCTGCCTACCAGACCACCCCAACCCAACCCGAAGACCCGAATTTCGGGTGTTTTTTCAATGTTTCCCGAGTGTTTTTTCAATGTTTCCCGAATTTCGGGTGTTTTTTTCAATTTCGGGTAAGGGTTCCACGCGTGTTTTTTCGATGTTTCCCGACCCCCCCCCCCCCACTAGAAATCGAGGGTAAATCTGAGCCTTCGGGTTGGGTTGGGGTGGTTTGGTGGGTGGTGATGCCCAGGGTCACCCTGGCGTGTGGCCGTTTCACCTCCCGGTCGAGGCGCGGTCGCATCAGTTCGATCGGGCCTCTACCGCGTGCTGCGATGGCAGCAGTACATACAGTACATAATCGGGCGCCCCGTCCTTTCTGGCTTGGGCCGGCGGGCGGGCGCGCTCGTGCGCGCGTGCGCGATGGAGATGTTTTGTGTTTGTTCCCCCTGGGGCGAGGCAGCGCTCGGGAGCCGCAGTGGCTTTACCACCGCGAGGGTCAATGTGCGAAGGTTCACGGCCCGCCACTCGAAGATGCAGTTGCGAAGCAGCAGGCCCTTTGAAGAACATTTAATATTATGGGCCTTGCCATATGCCGTGGGTCCCCCTCTGGTAGGTTCGAGGCGCGAAGGCTGTCGGGCCAGACACGCACGTGGGTTTACTTAAGTCGTATAGGGGCTGTCAGCGGCAAAGTTTGAGTGTCCTTTGTTGAACCATCGTGTGCACGTGTTGAGCATACTGTGGTCTCTGGGCCATCGTGGGCAATCCTCGGATCCCTGAGAGGCATATTGGGGCTGCCTCATGACCTGGTTGGCTTGTGTTGGCCAGTACTTGGCGATCTAGACTGCCTGGTAGCAAGACAGGCGACCCGCCAGCATGAGCGAAAGGATCGCTGTGCTTGGTGAAGTTTCCCCCTGCGATCTTGTCTTGAAAATCACTTGAACTGCCTCGGGAGACACCCGGAGGCCCAGAGATGCTGTGGGAGGTCACTGGGAACTCTTGGAGCGTCTGATCGGCCTGTACAATTATGCGGGAGTTCTCAGGAACTCAGGGGGGGGCCTCCAAGAAAACCTGGAAAGCCAGGGACTAATGACACACGGCCTGAAGGTACGTACAAACGCCGGCCGTTTGTGCGTTGGAAGGGGCATGGCTACGTACTTGTAGAACACGTTGGCTCATCCGATCCCCATGGCGACCAACCTGGAGGAAACACTCACATGAACATGATACTTTCTGAGGGAGAATGTCCTTCGCAGACTGATGGTCCCCGCAATGGGGACCGTCGGATTTTCAGTAGCTGATGTAGGCTCCAGTGGCACCACCAGCGCGGATCTACCGCGCAGCTCCAGCTCAGTGAAACAATTCAGGTTTCAACATAAAGTCATCCGTCGCTCCGGGCTTCGTTCAGCCGAAACGACATTCGAATGTTAGCCTTCCTTGCTTTTCCCCTCCCGCTGTTGCTGCAAACCCCGCCACCAAGCCCGAGCAGAGGAGGAGGAGGAGGAGGAGGAGGAGGAGGAGGAGGAGGAGGAGGAGGAGGAGCAAGAAGAGGAGGAGGAGAGGGAATAGGAAGAGGTCGAGGAGGAGGAGGAGAGAGGAGGAGGAGCAG